AAACATAAACATGCTACATATGGAGTCTTCTATTTTAGAATTAAAACTTATCATGAAAAAAATAGAAAGTATTAGCAAGCTTTCAAGGCAATTATAATTTCTTGCATTGAAATAGCACATGGTGATATACAAGTTAATATATATATATGTATATGTGTGTATATGTATATATATAAACAAATCTATGTTGTTTGATGAAGAAATGGATGCTAATTAAGAAATGGTAATGTACTTCCAGAGACACTTTAATCAGTACATTCACGTGATCAACACAGATCAAAAAAAGAACCATTTGAAAACAGTGTAATTTTCCATAACAAGTTTTAGTCTACTTGGTTACTTCATACAGCAACAAACACAACATAAGGAATTAAGCACCCAGCTGCTAATTCCAAGGTTGGAGTTCAAGTGCACCCGTGGCACTCTGTGGGAGAAAGTTACAGCAATCTGTGTCCTTAAAGATTATAGTCTAGGAAACACAATAAACCAAAAAACAAATAAACCCATTGTCACTGAGTCAATTCAAACTCGCCTAAGCCCATAGGACAGAGCAAAACTGCTCCAAAAGCTCGCCTTTCTCCTGTGAAGTCATTTGAATGGGCTAGGGAACTGCTAGCAGCTCTAAGCCTAACCCTCCCACTACGCCACCAGGGCTCCAGGAAACTCTAAAGGGCAGTCCTGTTCTGTTCTATAGTCCTCTTCTGGAGCTATGAGTCAACATCGCCACAATGGCGCACAATACCACACGTCATAGCATGCATAATTTCTCACCAAGCCTCTAGGATGACATTCCTGTGTGGAGCAGCCAATGAACAGAGAGGACCTTGGGGTTGAGACACAACACAGAAATTGTGCCAGGTCTGATCCCCTAACACCAGAGCGAAACATGAAGGGAGTGCCAACAGGGCAGGAAGGGGAGGAAAGCAACAAGGACCCAAGGAATCCCAACAGACTCGGGAATCGGTGGGCAGGGCTGGGCACTACAAGAGATCCGGTTGGATAACATTGAGAAGGGTCAGCAGACAGACCTGGAAGTACTTACAGACATTTTTCTTTTTCTGAGGAGAAAACAATGGGGCCGGCGGCGCCAAGGGGACATGGAAAAGGAGGAGGGAGGGGGAATCCAATAAACCCAGGGACAAGGGGATAATTAAGATATATAAAATTGATGGCGAGGAGGGCATAAAATACCTGATGGGGTTTGATCAAAGGAAATGTAGCTGAGATAAAGTACTGAGAGTTGAATGAAGGTTGAACATGATTGTGGGACAGGACGGAAGTAAAAGGAAATAGAAGAAAGAACTAGGCGGCAGAAGACATTTATAGAAGTGTAAATATAAGCATGCACATAGTAAATACATTAATAGATGACAGGGACATAGATCTATGTATTTATAGATTAAGTATTAAGGTAGTAGACAGACATTGGGTCTCTCTCTACTCAAGTACTCCCTCAATGCAAGAACACCTTGTTCTAATAACCTGACAGTCTGTGATGCTCACCTTCCCAATACAATCGCTGAAGTCAAAATGGGTGCATGAGCAAATGTGACGAAGAAAGCTGATGGTGCCTATCTATTAGTAGATAGACCATCTGGGGTCTTAAAGGTATGAACTCAAACAAGCAGTCATCTAGCAGGACGCAACAAAGCCCACAAGGAAGAAGCACACGCGCCTGTGTGATCATCAGGTATAGACAGGATCAAGTATCAGGCATCAGAAGACCCCAAACAAGCAATCATGTCAATGTGAATGAGGTGGGTCAGAGTGGAGACCCAAAGCCCACCTGTAGACAATTGGACATTCCCTCACGTAAGTGTCACAAAGAAAGAATGAGACAGCCAGAGTACAGAATAGCACCTAAGGAGCACACAACATTCCTCTAGTGCTTTAAAGCTACACACACACAATCATGACTCCAGTTCTACCTTACAAATCCAGCTAGACCAGAGCATGTACACTGGTACAGCTAAGAGTTCTCGACACATGGAACCAGGACAGATAAACCCCTCCTGAACAGTAATGGAAGTAGAGATACCATGATGGTAGGGGTAAGGTTGGGGGAGAAATGGAGAACAGACTACAACGATCAATGGAGAGCCACCATCACCCCCTACAGGGGTGAAAAGAAAGTTGAGCAAAGGGAGACAGCGGATGGTGTAAGATATGAAAATAGTAATAATTTATAATTTATCAGGGGTCCATGATGGAGAGAAGGTGGAGGGGTGAGGGGGGAAGAAAAGAGAAGCGCTAAAACCAAGGGCTCAAACAGAAAGAAATGTGAAAATGATGGTGGCAACATATGTACAAATGTGTTTGATGTAATTGACGCATACATTGTTATATGACCTCCCAATAAAATAATTTATTAAAATAACAACTTCTCTTTGCATATTAATGCAGTCTTTTAAAGGTAATTTTTTTTTTTAATGGTTGCCTGTGATACCCTTTGTGGAATATACCTAACTTTACTGGCAATTCCATCAGTTTCAGAAATTTACATTAAGTTAAAATTTCCTCACTTACAAAAAATTATATCCAATAACTCCACACCTGTGATTTTTTCCCTCTTTTAAGGCTATAGTTCCACGGGAGTATAAACAGTAGTTGACGGAACAAAAAATCCGATGGACTTGATTAAAAATGCCAATCCGA